TGTATTAGCCCAAAATGACCATCTCAAGAAAATTTTTGGGCCCTTTATAAAATTGTGTTTTTTTTTTTAGCAACCCCTGGGGGTCCCCTTTTTTCCCTTAAAACCCATTTTATTATTATGTTTTGGATTTTCCCTTTTACTGTACGTTTAAAAAGGCCTTTTTGTGGAAAACCCCTCTTTGTTTACTTTTTTAAATTTCCCTATTTTGTAACTTATAAATTTTATTTAACTTTTAATGCCCCTTATTTAGGCCCCGGTCACAGACTTTGGGCCCTGGGGGGGCGTTGACCCCCCCAAAGGAAACCCCGGTATTCTCCAGTATTTCCCCATTCTTTTCAAATGTGTCAAATTTAGGAAACTCACTGCCCAAACCCTTTTTTGAGAATGTTATGCTGGAAAATTTGGGGCTGCCGAGTGCACTGGATCAATAATGTATATTTTAAAATGGGGACATGAAAGGGTTAACAATAACTTGTAGATCCCCTTTTTTTGTATCAAGCCTTTGCATTCTCAAAAGTATCATGGGACGCTAATTTTTTTATGGTTCGATTTTTGCCTCCATTTTATTTTTAATTATATATTTATTTATCAAAAATTTTAAAATTTTATTGTTCATCTGTTTTCTATTTTCCAAATTTTTCCAAATTATCTTTTAAAAATTATCCCCTTGCAAAGTATCATCTGGGGAGTTTTTATGTAAAAATTTTAAAAAAGTAGATCCTTATTTTAAAAACCCCCTTGGGGAACATTTTTGTAAATGGACATTTTTTTTGTTTTCAAATGTTTTCTTTTATACTTTTAAAAAACCCCTCAACCCTTTTTTAAACCCCTTCAGGGTCGAGAGGGGCCCCCTTTTCTTTAAAAAGTTCTCAGGGTCGAAAATTTTTCGGAAAAAAAAAAAAATTCTTTTTCTTTTTAAATTAAAGAGAAAACTTTTCCCGATTATAATGGCACCCAAAGTATTAAAATTTTGGAAAAAAATTAGGGAATTATGCTCTCGCGAAGTTTTAGCGGTCTCGCCGCCCCGGGTTTTCGCATCGGCGTTTTTTCCCATTTTGAGCCCTATTTTCGGCCAAATTTTCCCGTGTTCTAGTGGACAAAAAATCATAAATTTTTTTCGCTAGAAAACCCCTTTTTTTATCGAATGGGGTACAAAAAACCAAACCCAATTTTCCAAATTTTAAATATCCAATTTAAAAAAGTTAGAAATTTGGCCAAATTTTTCCAATTCCCTACAAATTTAGAAGATGTCAATTTTTTTAAAAAGGGGTTTTCCCGAATAAACCCAAAAAAAAAATTCCCGGCATAAAATAACAAATTCTGTGTTTGTTAGTCAGTCCCCCGGCCCCCCCTTATATTTCTTTTGCTTTCCACTTTGAATTTTTATTTTACAAAAAAAAAAGAAGATTTTTCTGTTAGGCGACTACGCATTAGTGTAGAAAAGGTATAAAAAAATATCCAAACACCCCCGTGAAAGAATATTAGACTCCCCCGTTGGGCGTGTTTTTGAATGCTTTGGGATGGGTTTTTTTACTTTTTAATTTGGTAAAAATCGAACAAATTTTCCCACTTTGAGCTCAATTTCAAAATTTCTTTTCATTGTGAAACCAATCAAAAAACATCTCCGGGTTTTTGTAATTGTCTTCCCTTCATAAAATGAGACCCGGGAAAACTAGAATACAAAACCCTAAATTCCATACGAAAAAAAAAGTGGGAAATTCGCTGTTTTAATCCAAAAAAATGGTCATTTTTTTTCTCTCATTACGCACTGTGTGCTGCAGGATTTTTTTTAATGTGCCCCTGCCCCATAGACTCATTTTTTGCATGTTGGCCCCACCAGCTTTTTTCTCGCCCAGATTTTAAGGGGCTAGAATTTTTAAACGTTCTAGGAAAGTCAATAACCCCGGTTCGTAAGCCGTACTAGTAGTAAAAAACCCCGGGAAAAGGGTTTTAAAGTTTTCCTTTTTTTCCTCCTTTGTTTTTTAAGGCCCGATTAGTCTTTCCTTGGGGAATGTTTTCAAAAACCTTCTTAAATCTTGGTTAAATACAAATTTTTCCCCTACCTTTTTTTTTTTTTTGAAGAGTTTCTCTCTTCACACGCAAGTGGGCTGGGGGTTTTATTTTCAGTGGGGTAGAAAAATTGGGGGATGTTTCTTTTTCATGGGTTTTCTGTTTTTCACCCATCAGTAAGATGGGGGACTGGGAATAGGCAAAATGGTTTTGGGTTTACTTTCCCGGGACAAAACTGACCTAATTAGCCCGAAAAAAGCTCTGCATAACAAGGGGCTTTTTAATTTTTGTATGTCACTGTGTCAGCTAGGGGGTGTTTTACCATGTACATGTAGTCTTGGAGTAAAAATTAAAAGGGTTTTTTTTTTACGTATTTTTATTATTTTAGGGAAAATAAATTGGGCTGCGAGTAGTAGGTTATTCTTTGGGCCCAAAGGGGTTTTTCCCTTTTCCCCTTTTAAAGGGTTTTTTTTTTTTCCAAAATTTTCACAATAAAAAAATTGTCAAAAAAACTGGGGTTAAGGTAAAGGGTCCCCCCTGTTAAACCCTTTCCGAAAATTTTTGGGGAAAATGTGCTATGTTCCCTTTTTTCTGCCAGTTTTCCTTTTTAGTAGTGAAATCCTAAAAAAATTCCTAAATGGGCAGCTCAGCTCTGCACATTGTTGTACAACTCATTTCTATCTTCTGTATTCCTACTTTTTTTTTTCTCTATCAAGTAGCTAATAATTTCTTTACTACCTGTTTAGTTATCTCAGTATCCTCTGACTCCTTTGTCTGTCTGGGTTTTAAAACAGCTGCATATAAATATCTTATTTTGTAAACTCGTACATATTATTTTATAGAACAAAAAATAATAATGTACAGTAGTGTACTGTAATAATAAAGGCAGAGCTTTAGAGCATAATATAGTAACACATTATACAGAAGGCCCCCCGCTTTACAGTGCTTCACTTTACAGCGGTTCGCTAATGCAGTGGGTTTCAGTTATACCCATTCTTTATTTATTCAAGATTTCCTACAATAAATATATTCACCACTCACTATAAGCTAAAGACAAATATTTGAAGGTAAGTAATGTGTATACTGTATATATATTTTTTAGGCCTAGCTCTATTGCTCACTTAATATATGATAATATGAGCATGATATCAGACTTTTATATGCATTTGATAGTGAAAAAAGGCTATGTTTCACTTTGCAGTGATTTTTGCTTTACAGCAGTAGCCCTGAACCTAACCTGCTGTATAAGCAGGGCCCACCTGTAATACAAAAAATGTCTCTGGTAGCCCATGTGGCTCCAGATTCTCCCAGTCAATCTCCTTATGGTTGAAATCCCCCATGATGAAAGTGAAACTAATGCATTTTACCCTTTAAAACTGCAGAGTCAGCGATTATGTACATTGGAACCTCGGTTTTCGTTATTAATTCGTTCCAGAAATTTTGACGAAAACCGAATTCGACGAAAACTGAACCAATATTTCCCATAAGAAATACAGTGGACCCTCGACTAACGCTATTAATCCGTTCCTGAGAGCTCATCGTTAGTCAAAATTATCGTTAGTCAAGTTAATTTTCCCCATAAGAAATAATGGAAATCAAATTAATCCGTGTAGGACACCCCAAAGTATGAAAAAAAATTGTTTTTACCACATGAAATATTAATTTTAATACACACAAACTGAAGAAGACATGCACAGTTACATGACACTTGCCTTTATTGAAGATGTGGTGATGATTGATGGGATGAGAGGAGGGGAGAGTGTTGATGGTCTTAGTGTTTAGAAGAGGAATCTCCTTCCATTAGCACTTGAGGGGGCAAGTCCTTTTCCGGGGTTACTTCCCTTCCCTTTATATCTCTCAAAACAACCTTTGCTGGCCTTAAATTCACTCACATCACCACTAGTTGCTGGCATTTTTTTAATTAAATCGTCATGCAACTTCCTAGACTTTTCACATATGATCGCTTGAGAGATGCTGTCTCCTGCTATCTGTTTTTCGTTTATCCACACCAATACCAGTCTCTCAACATCTTCGAGTACTTGCGATCTCAGTTTCGAAAACATAGTTGCACCTTTGGCAAGAACAGCTTCCTTGATTGCCGTTTTCTTGCCCACAATAGTAGCGATGGTTGATTGGGGTTTTGTGTACAACCTGGCCAGCTCGGAGACACGCACTCCACTTTCATACTTAGCAATGATCTCTGTCTTCATGTCCATAGTTATTCTCACCCTTTTTGCTGTATGGTCGGCACTAGAAGCTTTCTTGGGGCCCATGGTGACTTATTTTGCAGGTGCAATCACTAAAAAGGCTGTGATAATATGAAATGTTCCGATTGTATGCTTGGAAGCGACCGCGGTGGCTGGCTGGCTTGTAAACACTGGCCAGAAGTGGACGTGTCTCAGAAGGAACGAATATTGTTGGTCGAGTTTTTTAGCGCTAGTCTAGGCAAAAATTGTGCGTTAAAATGTATCGCTAGTCTGATTTATTGTTAATCGATGCCATCGTTAGTCGAGGGTCCACTGTAATGTAAATCCAATTAATCCTTTCCAGACACCCAAAAGTATTAACAAATAATACATTTTATAGAGAATATAGTTTAACATACAGAAAACAATGAGAAATAAGTATAAAGCACTAATTTTAATGGATAAATGAACATTTAAATCAGTAGTTTCACTTTAATTACATGTGCGGCACTGTTAAGTGGGTGGGGTGATGTCAGCGTCTGAAATTTCGTAAACAAAAATACCATAATTAGTGTACAGTACTATATATGAATTTAAAATTATATATAAAATTAAAAGTAGAGAATTTTTTCAGTGTATACCTATGCAGTATTTATCTCCCTTTTTTAACTAGGATATTGGTATCTCCCCAACTAATTGTGATAACTTGTGTAAAACAATTGAATAATATATACTGTATATAAGGGGTCTGATTTAATGAAAAAGATTACAAGGGAGTTTCTTTCTATTGTTCTCACTTTTTTTCAGTCAAAAAACATTGGATTGACAAGTCATTAGTTGAATTATTATTCACTGACAAAAACTTCAGCATGGCAGGCAGGGAACACCTGGGTGTATTGCTGTTACAGTACCTTCCACCATAAGGTAAGGAGACATAAAAAAATATTGATAGTTTCGTTATGTTACTACGTAAGTAGCTAGGTGGGAGTCCCTTATTTAGCTTCCTGTTGTGTTCTACCCAGGAAAACATTTGCTGAATTTTATGTAGCCAAGGACAGTCTATTAGTTATTGGTGTGGTTTATGCATTACATGAAATTACAAACCCCTTTATGTACATTACTCTGTGGTGCATTTTCTCATTGGATTGGTTTAAGAGAGGGGTAATAAGGACTACAACTGCTGGTAGCTTTTAAAACATTACAGTAGCTACAAGAGCAGAGCTCCTGTATCTGCGAATAGGTAATCACAAAGGAGTCTTACCCTCTTGTTATCCATTAACAAATAAAAAGAGTGGGTTGGTGCTGTACAACACGCATAACATAATCATGGCAACACACTTGTTTGTCATGCATTTCTGTAAACTTCAATTAACCCTTTGACTGTTTTGGCCGTATATTATGCCAATGTTTTTGACGTATTAATATGCCAAAATTCTAGTGGCTTCAAATCAAGTGGGAGAAAGCTGGTAGGCTTACATGTAAGAGAATGGGTCTGCGTGATGGGTGTGCGCAGTATGAAAAAAATTGGGGACTCGGTGGTGCATTGTGGGAACGCCATTTTAGTAGTAATTGTTCACCATGTCTCACGGTAAGCAGTACCTTATTCCCCGGCAAATTGAAGGTCTTCTGTTCCCAAGTGATAGTTCTAACACTGATGGAAGTGCCAGTGAAAGTGAATTTCATGGTTTTGTGGAGAGTGTGACCGAAAGCAGTGCCCAGGATAACGTAATTAGTGATGAAAACCAAGACGACCCACAACCTTCCACCTCTGGTGCTGGGCCATCTCATTCACGCTCACCTGTACCAGGGCAAAAGAGGAAACTATTTCCCTGTGTACAGGACCCAGATGTGAGCAGTGAAAATGATAGCGATAGTGATTTCCAAGCTGTTGAAAGCAGTTCGAGTTGCAACAGTGGGAGGAAATATTCTCCAGTGAAGCGGCAGTATGTACGACGCAGCATGCATTCTGGTAGTGTGCCATATGCCATTGCAAGGGGAAGTAGTAAATCTCGGAGCATATTCTGTGACCCTACACCATGAACTGATAGTGAAGATGACGATATTGTCACAATGGCGATGGATAATGTCTGTAGGGCAGTAGGTGGTGGTGGCAGTGGCATGTGTCATGTGGCACCAGCAGCGGGGCATGCTTGCTACCCACACTGCTAAATCAGCACAGCCACAACAAAGGCCACCCTCAACCACCCCCACAACCTGCACAGCCACAACCACCTGTCAATATCCAGTACCCACCAGCATACTGCATCTGGGATTGGCAGGAAGGTGCCAGTTTTGTTCCCAATCTCCATCAGTTTGATGAAACACAAAGTGGAATACGGCCATCGTGTACACTTGGGAACAATGCCACTGAACTGGCATGCTTTCAGTTATTCTTCGGTGAACCCCTGATGGACATTTGTCAGGCAAAGTAACACATACTTCGAATACACCATAGCAAACACAATTGTTTCACCAAGATCATGCCTACACTGGTGGAAAGAAACAACTGTGGCAGAGATGTGTCTGTTCTTTGTCACAATAATTCTTATACCACATGTGTATAAGCACACTGTCAATCACCACATACTGGTTGACAGACCGCCTGATTTCAACCCCAGGTTTCAGTGATATAATACCAGTGAATCGATTTCTGCTACTGTTACGTATGCTACACTTCTCAGACAAAACAAGGCCTGACAGAAACGACGGGTTATTTAAGATCAGGAATGTGTTTATGTACTTGAAACAAAAGTGCTGTATGTATTTTTATCCCTTCAGGAAGCTTGTTATTGATGAGTCTTTGATTTTGTTCAAAGGCAGACTGTTGTTCAAGCAGTATATACCAAGCAAGGGGAAATGCTTTGATATAAAGTTATTTGTGTTGTGTGATTGCAAAAGTGGTCTGGTTTTGGATATAATTGTGTATACTGGCAGTAATACATTGCAAGATACCAGGAAGTTATTGGGTATCTCTGGTGATGTGGTTTGAACAATGATGGAACCATATCTTGGTAAAGGGCATATATTATATACTGATAACTGGTACACGAACTCCTTACTCAGTGATTTCTTGCGAGTGAACATGACAGATGTATGTGGCACAGTGCATTGAAATCGTAAGCATATGCCTAGGTTCGATGTAGGCATTCATAGAAGTGAGGTGCAGGTGTTTGTTGCCAATGACATCATGGCATTTTGGTGGCATGACAAATGTGATATCACATTGTTGACATCGGTTCATCGAAATGAAATGGCAGACGGTGGCAGGCAGAATAGAGAGACCAATGAACCCATTCTAAAACCTGCAGCTGTGATGGACTACAACGTCATTATGCACTTAGTGGACAAATATGACATGCAGATTAGGTTTGCTGATTGTGTTTGCAGTTATAAGTGATACATAACTCTTTTCCATCTTCTTGACATTTCCATGCTGAATGCTTATAACATGTATAAGTTGAAGACCAACAACAAACCAAAATATGGTGAATTTGGTTTGTCAGTCATCAGACAAATAATATTCAAGTACCAAGGAACAATACCTGCAATAGACCAGTGCCTACAAAATTATCAACACATACCCTCTCGTCTGAGGCCTGGTGATCACTATCCCATACAACTGCCTCCTACTACTTTCAGGAAAATTGCTCAGAAGAGGTGTTATGTATGTACACATACCACAAAATGCCCACAAAAATGGAGACACTCATTTTATGTGTGGAGAGTGTAAAACACCAGTGTGCATAACACAGTGTTTCAAAGACTTCCACAGGCTGCAGCAGTTCTAGGAAAGTATCCAGTGACTGTACATTTGTATATATATATTATAGAAAAATAGTAGTAAACAATTTTTTGTATTGTGTAAACAAGGTTTGTAAACAATATAATAATAATGTTTGTGTGGTTATTGTGTTGCATACAACGAGTGTATATATGTACATTGCACCTTACTTTGGTCTCACAGGCCACATAAGTTACCTAGAAAAAAATATTGGAAAATACAAGAAATCTTCGAAAGGGAGTAAATATAATTTTACCGGGTGAGCGGCATTCACCGCTGTTGCCATACACGGATCATTTTCTGCCAACTTTATGCCTCTATATTTCAGTAAGTACTGATCACAAAAAAAAAATTTTAGGCTTAAAATTTTACACTCGGCAAATTAATCTGAACATTTTGGTAAGAAAAAATAATTTGTTTTTTTTCGAATATTTTGTGACATAGGAAGACACTAGGATTTGGGGTTGCGACAGTCAAAGGGTTAAAACTTGTTGGGTTTTTCCAACATGCTCAGCTTACTTCCTTCATTGTGCCTGCACTTGCCTTAATTGTTTTTGTTTCTTTTATCTGTGTTATGCCCAGAGGAATGAAATGACTAAATGAGAGATGTTCTGTACAATAAATAGTCAGGTTTGCTTAGTAAACCATCCATACTGTGTGGAGAAAAGTTGTACTCTATTAATGTACAGTGCTTTCTTCTGTTCCAGAAATGGGGGACGCATCAGTGGAAGTGAAAGATAGCCGTCCTGTTATTTATGTGACTGGCTTTGGACCTTTCCCATCACATGCAGTTAATGCAAGCCAGTTGGCTGTTGATGGTCTTGCAAACTTTAATTTAGAAGAGGAACTAGGAGTGAAGTTAGTAACGGAAACGATGAAAGTTGAATATAACTATGTTCAAAAGACTATTCCACAGAGATGGGCAAATTTGAAACCGAAGGTACTGAGAGTTTTATTTCTGTTTGTGTGTAGAGTTTTGGCCTCTGAATCAATACAATGCAATGGCAGGTGCTTACCTAAAATTTGTCTGAGATTTCTTTTAATTCATTAGCCTAGCAGTTTTTCCAGATCATAAGCATCCTGATCCAATAATTACCTATCATTTGCAACATACTCACCTCCAAAACTTCAGTTCTACTATTTGGTTTCTTTCAAATCCCTTCTGGAAGTCAATAATATGGTGATACCAAGATGAGTAAAAATAGACTTTATGTACAGTTTAGGGCATTTACTAAAGGAACTGTTTCACCACAAATGGCTTCTTCAGTAAACTCATGATGCTATATCTTCTAATTACACGTCTTGAATATTCGTATAATATTACCATGCTCATACTCCAGCAGCATGTCATATCCCAGAATACTGTTTGCCACCTCTCACTTTGGTTAAATATGTGCATATGTCTGCTGGATGTTTAGGCCCTTTGCCTCTTTAATTATCTCCTTCATATCCTCCCTCCAACCCTTCAGACATCTTCAGCTTTCCTCTTGAAAAGGGGTGCCTTGAAGTTGAAGGGCTATTGATCCAGGGAATTGGAGTTACCTTCCAGTTCCTCTGGATTACTTTCACTCCCCCTCCCTCCATTTCTCTGGCACTGTTTGACTTACACATTTTTAGCATTTCCCATGAATATACAGTCGATGATCATAATTTGCACAGTAATGTCATGATACAGTACTTCAAAAAGTAAGTGTCTGAACTCTGGTGAGGTTCAAACAGTGAGAATGAAGAGTGCATATAGCTTAAAAATGGTTACATTGATTCAATGGTGGCTCATCCATAGGAGCTGCAGAGCTGCACTACCCCCAGATGCTCACTGCCAGATGTATGACTTCATCAACCTTAAGTTAGAATAATTTGCAACTGACAAATATATTACAGGATGAGATGAAACAAGATAAAAAATTTTTGAAAATAGAAGTTTGACGCTGTACGATAGTATAGGTATTACCGGTGTTACATCTGGCAGCGAGGAGCTGCATTCAATGCAGCATACATTCAGTTGCAGTCAGTCTGTTTACGTTGAGTATGCACGTGTAACGCATGGCTGGTATTGGTGGCTGTTTAACCCTTTCAGGGTCCGTCCCGTAGATCTACGGCTTTACGTTCAGGGTCCAAACCGTAGATCTACGTCATGAGCTCAGCTCACCCTGATAAACTGTGAGTGGTACATTTGGGCCTAGATATGAGAGAATACATCTATGTGGTATGTGTGCACCACATAAAACAGATCCTGCAGCACACTGTGTATAATGAGAGAAAAAAACTGAAATCATGATTTTTCGATTAAAACAGCGACTTTGCAGTGTTTTTTCGTATGTTTTTTATAGTTGTATTTGCGATTTCTTGGTCTCAACTGATAGAATGGAAGACATATTACAGAAATAGAGATGATTTTGATTGGTTTTAGTACTGGAAATGGCGTGAAACTGAGCTCAAAGTAGCAGAAATGTTAAATTTTTGCCGATATTCAAGAGTAAACAAACGACCTCACACGTCTAATATACGTCAGCTGGTGGGTCTAATATGCATTCACAAATATGGTGATGATATTTATACAATTATTACAGTATTGCATAACAGTAAATCTTCAATTTTTTGGTGTGAATAAAAATTCATTATGTGAATAAAAAATCAAAATGGAATTTATTTGTAAAGCCTCAAAACATAACTAATGAACAGAGGAAATGTTAGTTTAGTTCCAGGAATACCTACATTGTTTATTCTGGACCCTATTTTGAAATTGGAATATTTTGAACTTTGTGTTAAATTGGCCAAATTAACAATTTCCGATCACTTTAATTTGTAGTTGAAACAGTTGACTTGCTGATTTCTTGTGCTCAATCGATAGAATAGAAGTAATACTAGTGAAATAGCTAAGAATTTGGTTTACTGGAATAATGTAATTGGCCTAAAATGGGAGTCAAAGTCGGCAAAATCGCCGATTCGTAAATATCGCTGACACATCAAAATTCGCGAGAGCATAATTTCATCAATTTTCCATCAAATTTCGTACTTTTTGTTTTATTACCTTCACAAAAAGATTCTTTACCATTTCATAAGAAAAAATAACAAATTTTTTTTTTGAAAATTCTTGGACACTGGGGCACCACTTCAGATTTGGGCCTTGGACCCTGAAAGGGTTAAACTCTTTTCAGTAGCATTAAATTTAATTACTATTTGATAAACAGTGTCAGTGGAAACTAGAGTAAACTAAGTTAAATATTTACTAAGTACAGTGGACCCCCGAGTTTTGTGATTAATCTGTTCCAGAGAGTATGCTGAAGGACGAAATTGCTGAATGGCGAAGCCATTAAATAAGGGAAATAAAATTAATCTGTTCCAGACACCCAAAAATATTAAATTTTTTTTTTTTCCAAATTAAATATTTACATTCAGAAAAAATAAAAAATCAAGTATGTACATATATAAAATAATAACATTACACGTACCTTTACTGAAGACTTCTGGGTTGATGGGAGGCGGGGAGAGGATGAAGGTGCGCTATTGTTTGGAGAGGGAATCCCCTTCCTTCCATAAAGACTTCAGGTACCAAGTCCTTATCTGGGGTTACTTTCCTTCTTTGCTTTTTAATGCCACTGGGAACAACTTCAGAGTCACTGGACCCCTGTCACACAAAATATCTGTCCAGAGAGCTCTGTTTCTGGTGTTTCTTTAAGATTTGTCTGAAGTGGGACACAACACTGTCATTGTACATGTTGCCAACATGGCCTGCAACAGCTTTGTAAGGGTGAAGTTCATCCATAAATGTTTGTACTTCAGTCCACTTTGCACAAATGTCCTTAATCTTTGAAGAAGGCAGCTTCCCCCATCTCTCTTCCTCCTCTGAATCAATTTCCTGAGCTGTGGTCTCTTACTGTTGCAGATGAAGGTCTTGCAGCTCTGTAGTGGTTAGTTCTTCATCATGGTCCTCCACCAATTCTTCCACATCCTCCAAACTCACATCCAACCCCATGGAATTCCCCAGTGACACAGTACTTTCCACAACTGCCATAGGCTCCTCAGGGTCAGCCCCAAACCCTTCAAAGTCCCTCTCTTGTACACAGTCTGGCCACAGTTTTCTCCAAGCAGAGTTCAAAGTCCTAGAAGTCACTCCCTCCCAAGCATTACGTATAAGGTTTATGCAATGGAGGATATTGAAATAATCTTTCCAGAACTCTCTTAGGGTCAACTCGGTGTCTGAGGTCACTTCAAAGCACTTTTGAAACACTGCTTTGGTGTACAGTTTTTTGAAGTTTGAAATGACCTCCATGGGCTGGAGGAGAGGAGTTGTATTAGGGGGTAAGAACTTCACTGTGATAAAACGAAACTCCTCTGCCATTTGCTCTTCCAAGTCTGCAGGATGATCAGGAGCATTGTCCATTACCAGGAGGCACTTGCATTCCAATTTATTTTAAAGGAGGTATTTCTTCACACTTGGGCCAAACACTTCATTAAACCAATCAAGGAAAATTTCCCTTGTGACCCATGCCTTACTGTTAAGCTTTCCACATCACACACAATTTACTCTTGGCGACACTGTTTTTCTTGAACACATTGGGATTTTCAGAGTGATAGACCAGTAAAGGTTTCACTTTGCAATCCCCACTAGCATTACTACAAAACATGAGAGTTAGCCTGTCTTTCTTAGGTTTGTGTCCTGGGAGTGCCATTTCCTCCTGCATGATGTAGGTCCTCTTTGACATTTTCTTCCTAAACAGGCCTGTTTCCTCACAGTTAAGCACTTGTTGGGGTTTGAATTTTTCAGTGTCTATGTACCCCTTAAACTCCTGTACAAACTTCTCAGCTGCCCTTTTATCTGAACTGGCAGCCTCACTATGCCTTACCACACTGTGTATGCCACTACACTTCTTAAATCTCTCAAACCAGCCTTTGCTGGCCTTAAAATCACAAATGTCACCACTCGTTGCAGGCATTTTCTTTATGAGGCTCGACAGTTATAATGTAGTGCATAGAAAACTTAATTATTTTTGAGTCTTGATGAAATACAAAGCTTTAAAAACAATGCCTTTTTTCTTTGGGGGGGGGAGGGGTCTGAGGAACAAAAATTTATTTTTCTCTGTTTCTCAATTCATTGTGCACAATTTTCTTTTTAAATTTCATGCTGGTTTTTCAGGAACATAACTATTGTGTTAATCATTGATTAACTGTGTATTCAGTATGTTTATTTTAAATAGCTCTTTCCATGCATTTGTAGATTATCTTAAATAAAAACTGCAGTACCAGTAGCTGGTACAGTAGTCCTTACAAATTTGTGGAATTCCTTATTCGTAGGATTGAATTCTCCAGCATTTTTACTGATGGGTCTATGAAACAAAATGAGCCTAAACCTGAGGCAAAATTGTACTGCAGACTTAATTTTATATTGTTTTTGGTTTCTAGTTTTGAAACTTTTAAGAACATAAACCCCCATGATTTTGTAGGACTGACTGTGATGAATAAGGTGGGATTCACAATGCCCTTGTTAATTTTCAATTAATATGTTATTCAGTATATTAGTAAAACTTTGATGGTTGTAAGAGATGTACTGTATCTCTGTACTCTTATCTTTGACTCAGTATGTTATAGTACTTCATTGTTTAATGACAATTAAAAAATAATTCCTCATATTGTAGAACTTTATTCATGCATGTGATTAAAATATGATGCTATGTACTTTGTTCACATTTCTCGTGTTTCAGTTGACTGTTCATGTGGGAGTGTCCGGCCAGGCAGAAACACTAACTTTAGAGCAACTTGCACACAACGCTGGCTATAATAGACAGGACAACTGTGGATGTATGCCTGGCTCAGGTCTTTGCATTCCTGGTTAGTGGTGCCATGTAATTTGCATGTATTTGTTTGTTGTTAATGATTAAAATATCTTAATTTCATTGTCTCTGTTATGCTTGTTGGGCATTGTAAATTTAATCTGGATATTAACCCGTTAACTGTCCAAATGTAGATCTGCGTTCACTCGCCCAGTGCTCTGAATATTTTGAATTTTTTTTTTTTAAATTAAAGGGGACAATTTTCTGTGTGTAACAAGACTAAACAAAAAATTTTAGGACCAGTACTTACCGAGATATGAAACCATGAATTTGGCGCTGGATGCTCACCCGATGGCAACATGGAGTCCTGCCTCTTGTAGAAGTGTTGCAGACGTACCTTTTTTTCTCGTTTTTATATTTTATATAATTTTTATGTTCTGATAATTAGAATTTATGTAGGTAGTAGGTTGGTAGACAGCAACCACCCAGGGAGGCACTACTGTCCTGCCAAGTGAGTGTAAAACGAAAGCCTGTAATTGTTTTACATGATGGTAGGATTGCTGCTGTCCATTTCTCTGTCTCATGAACATGCAAGGTTTCAGGTACGTCTTGCTACTTCTACTTACACTTAGGCCACAAGGGGCTAGTAATCCCTACTCCTGTATATATTACTAAATGTAAAAGGAGAAACTTTCGTTTTTCCTTTTGGGCCACCCCGCCTCGGTGGGATACGGCCGGTGTGTTGAAAGAAAGAAGTAGGTTGGTAGACAGCAACTGCCCAGGGAGGTACTACTTTCCTGCCAAGTGAGTGTAAAACAAAAGCCTGTAATTGTTTTACATGATGGTAGGATTGCTGGTGTCTTTTTTTCTGTCTCATAAACATGCAAGATTTCAGGTACATCTTGCTACTTCTACTTACACTTAGGTCACACTACACATACATGTACAAGCATATATATACACACCCCTCTGGGTTTTCTTCTATTTTCTTTCTAGTTCTTGTTCCTGTTTATTTCCTCTTATCTCCATGGTGAAGTGGAACAGAATTCTTCCTCCGTAAGCCATGCGTGTTGTAAGAGGCGACTAAAATGCCAGGAGCAAGGGAATAGTAACCCCTTCTGTATAAATTACTAAATTTAAAAAGAGAAACTTTCGTTTTTCGTTTTAGGTCACCCTGCCTTGGTGGGATATGGCCGGTTTGTTGAAAAAAAAAATTAGAATTTATAGTAGTTCTTGTGATTTCATAGCTAATCTTTGTTCTGACACTAATATTAGGTACTGAAATTGTACTCAAATTGTCACAAACACACTGATAGGTCAACATTTACACCTGCCTTGGTAATTTAATATTGTCTAGGAATACTATATACAAAGTATTTATAGGTCCCAGCAATGTTTTAGACACGCTGGGGTATATATGAAACACCTTAAAGCATGGTGTTAAGACGAGTGTTACTAGACTGCTGACAGGGTGAGCAGTGTAGTGACACGATGATTATGCACTGCTGCATGGAACCCAGGCTTTATTTGTTTTCACTGTTACACATAAACATGTCTGTTTGTCTGTCTAGCTATGTCTGTTTATCTGTCTTTCTGCCTGCCTGTGTTTTTTTTTTTTTTTTTTTTTTTTTTTTTTTTTTTTTTTTTTTTTTACACAGGGTTTGACAAGGTTAAGGATCCCTAGCTTTATTGACAAGCTATTTACAGGTTAAGGATTCCTAACATTATTGGCAAGCTAAGAGCTGTTGCCTACATCAGCTCATTTGAAAGCATTTTTATTGTTATGAGACATACAAGTAGGGAACAGGATGAAATTGGAGCCATCTGTGGGCCAGCATTTTCATTTGATCAACTGACTTTATCTCGTTGACATCATTATGCTGTACGAATGTGTTCCATACTCGAGTCATCCTGGGTATATATGATCTCAGATGGAGTGATGCTCTGGAGAAGGGTAGAGCCAGAGTGAAGTTGCTGCTTTCTGCCCGTCTTGTGGCATAAAAGCTTGTTTCATGATGTCCTCGAAGTGGATCCAAGTGTGGTACTTTGACAATATTGGCCTTGTACATAACAGTAAGGCCACCCACATCCCTCCTATGTTGAAGGCTCTGCTGAAATGACAGATCTATCCAGGATGGGTCCAGGCGAGAGAAGAGACGTCTTGCTCTGTTCTCTATTCTGTCAAGCAGTCGCAGATGAGAGGGGGGGCAGGCAAACCAAGAAAGTGGAGCATACTCAAGGTGTGAGCGTACTTGTGCCTCATACAGAATCTTGCAACCCCTACTGTCAAGTAGATGCGAGATACGGCGAAGTGCTGTAAGCTTCCTGGCTGCCTTGTTTGCAAGATTTACAACATGGTTCTTCATGGTTAGTTTGGAGTCAAATTTCACCCCAAGGATATCAACTTCTTCTCCAGGTGCCAACACCCTCCCATTCATCCTTACTACTGCACCAGCATTACCATCATGGTGCCTAGAGACGATCATCATTTGCGTTTTCTCAGGAGCAAATGTTACTTGCCATCTATTTCCCCAAGCTGATATAGCTCTCAGCTGGTGATTGATGTAGCTTAGAGCAGCTGGCATTTCTTCTCTTGGATAAGTGAATGTCAGTGTACAGTCATCTGCATATGCATGTGATTCTGGGATGAGATGAAGGTCGTTGAAGTAGACATTCCATAACAATGGTCCCAGCACGCTTCCTTGTGGAACACTTGCCCCAATAGGATGTCTTGCTGATTCCGTTCCATTGAGAACTACACTTAGAGATCTACCATGAAGGTAATCACTGAGGAGACATAGCATAGAGCCTGCAATTCCCAGTGCTTGAAGTTTTGCTAAGAGGCCCTGGTGCCACACCCGGTCGAAAGTGCCAGCAATGTCCAGTGCTATCACACAGCTGACTTTGGATTCATCCAGTGACTGGTGCCACTTAGTGGAGAAGTTTAACAACAGATCAGCAGCAGAGCAACCTTTCCTGAAGCCATATTGACGATCACAAAGTAGTGAGTGATAGTCAAAAAACTCTGTCATTTGTCTTGAGATTATTGTCTCAAGGATCTTACCAGTGATTGACAGGAGTGACACTGGTCTGTAGTTGCTGATTTCTGCTCTGCTCTTCTTTTTGTGAACAGGGACTACATTTGCCTCTTTCCATAGAGAGGGCCATTTACACTGTACTAGGCAGTGCTGAACGATGCGAGTTAGAGGTGCTGCTAGCTGGTCTGCACATCTCAGCAATCTTGGGCTCAACTTGTCTGGGCCCACATCCTTTTCTTGGTCAAGCGATTTAAGAAGGAAATGCACCTCCTCCTGCCTTATTGTCACCACTGACAGTTTTGACATAGTTCTTGCAGCTAGCCAAGGAGGGTCCCTTGCTGGATCAGGAACTTGCATTTTGGTAGCAAAGTGTTCAGCAAAGAGGTCCGCCTTCTCTTGACTACTAGTAGAGGTGGTCCCATCCTGTCGATTTAGAGGTGGAATGAGTTCATCAGGCAGATAACCTTGTCTGTCCTTGACCAGGGACCACCAGGTTTTGGAGCCTACCCTACCTGATGCTAGCTTTCTTTTAGTGTCCACCTCCCATTTAGCAATGGCCCACTTTTGAACGTCGCCCATGTGCCTACAGGCTTGCCTGTGCAAGTTCCTGTTATAGGTGGTAGGATGTATCTTATACCTTCGCCATGCTTTGTACTTAGCAGTAGCAGCCTCTTTACAATGAAAGCCAAACCAAGGCTGATCTGTAGGCTTCGTCACATGTTGCCGGTGAGGAATGTGTTCTTGTTGTAGATTAAGGATGTGTCCAGTGAAGGCTTTCACTTGGTTGTCAACATCCCCTTGGAGAAGAGCATTCCAATCGGTGGTGGCGAGCTCAGAGCAAAGGGCTGGCCAATTACCGCTTTCCCATAGCCAGGTTGTGCGTGTGTACTCCTCACCTCGTTCTGTTGGGATCTTAAGTGTCATAAAAACAGCCTTGTGGTCAGACAATCCAACATAGCCGAGGGGTTGACAAGTGACTACGCCTTCTGCCAGATCACTCACCACTGGGTCAAGGGAGGAGCCAGAGATGTGAGTAGGGAAATCAACAAAGTTTTTCATGTCAAACACTAAGAAGGTCATCAAAGTCCCTCTGTATAAGGTGCTGGTTGAGGTCACCAATAATTATGATATGTTGACAGTTGTGTTGTAGCAGAAGGGAGTCAATATTTTCCATTAGGAAGTTGATGGGGTCTGCATGTTGCCACTGAGGTCTGTACATTGCACATGCTACAGAGGTACTAGTGTTTATGCAGAGCTTGAAGAACATCATTTCAAGATGTGCAGGGGTGGCAACATCAATGTGCTGGGCATGAACACTTTTAGAGAAGCACACAGCAACACCTCCTCCTTGCCCTTGCCTTGCTCCTGCCTTCCTTTTTGTGTTTGTCTTTCTGTCTGCCTGTGTGTATCTGTCTTTTTGTCTGCCTGTGTGTATCTGTCTTTCTGTCTGCCTATGTGTGTCTGTCTTTGTCTGCCTGTGTGTGTCTGTCTTTCTGTCTGCCTGTGTCTGTCTTTCTCTTGGATTTAAGTTGGATAAATTTAGATTTAGAAAGAACATAGGTAAGTACTGGTTTTCTAACAGAGTTGTAGATGCGTGGAACAGTCTTCCCAGTGGGGTGATAGAGGCTAGGACCTTGGGTAGCTTTAAGAAGAGACAGGACAAATATATGAGTGGGAGGGACTGGTTTTGATTGGTGTCATTGGGTACTGGAGTTATTTCTTGGGTAGCTTAAGGTAGAGGTCGTTTTGATAAGGACCTGCCTCGCATGGGCCAGTAGGCCTTCTGCAGTGTTCCTCCATTCTTATGTTCTTATGTCTTAGCTTTTATGATGTCACTGATGTCAGCTAGGCCAATATACCTTGTACATGTACTTATAGAAATAAAAGATCATCATACTAATAAAAATTCTCGTTTCAATATGTCATGTGGCAGTGTGTGCAGGTGTACATTTTGGGGAGAACCATCAAACTAACCCAGGTTCGAGACCTCATTTCTACACATTTGGTTTGGAAATAGGGTAGTTGATGAGTGGAACAGTCTACCTAGTTGGGTTATTGAGGCTAGGACTTTGGGTAGTTTCAAATTTAGATTGGATAAATACATGAGTGAGAGGGGTTAGATTTGAGTGGGACTTGCAAATGAGTGGATAGAGTTATCAGAGCTTATTTCTTGGGTAGCATTGAAAATTAGCTTGGGCAAATGTTTCGTTAGAGGGATGGATTGTAAAGGACCTGCCTAGTATGAGCCAACAGGCCTGCTGCAGTGATCCTCCTTTCTTATGTTCTTGTCTCAGAGAGTTGCTCCTGATCCATCTGGTATTACACATTATCATGTCTGATTCCTGAACGAGTGAAAATGCGTATTACTTGCCAGTTGCCAGTCATGCTTATTATGCATTAGATCTACAAGCACAGTATAGCACTTTGTCTGGATTTTTTGGGATATCCTAGGTATTTTACACTATGTATAATTGTATTTATGTATGTGTACCTGTGAGATAGACACAGAGACAGATAAAGAGATAGACAGAGACATAGATACAGACAGAGATAGAGACAGCCAATCAGCCAGCCAGCATGCCAGCCAGCCTTCAGAACACGTATTACACATTCCAGAATTGTTTCTTTTTACGTAGATGACAGTACCTTGTGATGCTTCCACAAGGTACTAAGTGGTCCCAAATTTTTTTAATACTCTGCACACCAAGTGTTAAGACCCATTCTATGCTGACCAGGCATCTCAGGCCAATCGTGCCAAATTTGGAGGCAGGAAAAATAAAATGTAGATCTACATTTGGTAGATCTACGGTAAGAACGTAGATCTACGTTTGGACAGTTAGCAAGTTAAACAGGTCTAAAGTTATTGAAAAAAAAAATTGGTTAAAATGCAAACACCCTCTGGTGGGTCATCACATCAGGCAAGTTAGGGTAGGTCATATTCAACACTATCAATTGTATGCTGCTGTAGCATGAAAGAGAATGGAAGTGATCAAGAGTGAGTGAGCATGAAGTTACAACAGGCAAGTGAATTATTGCACATGAAACAAACATGATTAGTTGGGACTTCCCAAGGAGGTAGAGAAAAGTAAGATTATAGTACTTTATGATTATAAGAGTAAAAGGAGCCCAAAGGTAAATTCCCAAGTGATAATTTAATAAGCAGAAATAACAATTATTACCTCCCATTCCCCAAGTGCTATACATGTATGACCCAGGCAGATTGAGCACTTTTCCAAGACAATATTCAGTATTGTTCTGTACTCATGTTCTTGTCACTTGCAGATGGGGATCAAGTTATCCATTCTGGGATCCGCATGGACTTGATATCCAGAAACATCAACAAGAACACGGGTCTCAACCTGCCATGTGTTAAGTCCACTGATGCAGGCAGGTGAGCCTGGTAGCAGTACCATATTTTCTAGTGTACTTTTATTGTTTGTTACTCATGCAATCTTTTTAATACATATTTTTGTTTTGAATGCAGTATGGGTAGTTAATAATTTTTTTTTCAACACTCCGGCTGCCTCCCACTGGGGCAGGTGGCCCAAAAAAGATGCAAACACTTTCACCATCATTCAACACTTTCACCATGGTTCACACATAATCACTGTCTTTGCAGAGGCATGCAGATATTACAGTTCAGATGTCACTCCAAACAACATTCACAACCCATGCCTCACACCCATATAAGAGTGTTGGTACCACTATACTTTCATACATTCCCTTCTTTGCCTCCATGAATAATGTTTTTTGTCTCCATAAATACCTCAATGCACCACTCACTTTTTTTCCTTCATCAGTTCCATGATTAACCTCATCCTTCAAAACCCATCCGCTGACACATCAACTCCTAAATATCTGTAAACATTCACTTCCATACTCCCCCTCTCCAATCTGATATCTAATTTTTCCTTATCTAAATCATTTGATACCCTCATCACCTTAATCTTTATCTATGTTCACTTTCAGCTTTCTTCCTTTACACACCCTCCCAAACTCATCCACTAACCTTTGCAACTTCTCTTTAGAATCTCCCAAAAGAACAGTATCGTCAGCAAAAGTAACTGTTCAAGTAGATGCGGGCTGCAATGTAATGCAGCAAAGTATGAACAAAGACCTGATGGCGTGGTATACTGGTACATATAAGAAGTACACTTTCATTTAAAGTTCCATCAGGAAAAGGATCCAGTGAATTCAGTATGATATAGCCCAAAATGGGATGGATAACAGCAGAGCATAATTTAGGTTCTTATAAACAGACACAGATGGGAAAACTGGGAGAGCAGCACTTGAAGCTCACCTTGATTACCCCTGAGGCCTTGAATATTCCATTGTAAATAAGTCATGATTTGCAGAGAGGAGCATACCAGTAACATGAAGCAGTAGGTGTCGATGGATTAGAAGAGTTAGTAAAGTCTACATGTGCAGAAAATTGAGTAAGCAGCAAAAGATTGGAATACTGCAAAAAAAGGAGTTGTGTAGATGGTTTAGAAAAGTGAGGAGGAGGAGTGATGGGAGGTGGATCCTTGTCCATTATTGGTTTCGTCTCCTCAGTATATTCAGAGATGGCTTCAAGTGTTTCAGAAGACAAGGGAGTTGCAAGTGGTATGACATCAGAGATAGAAGGAAGAGGGTGAATAAAGATTGGAGAGGTGATGGAAGTTACCAAAGAAGGTGGGGGAGATGAGAGATTGGAGTTAATTTGGGAAGAAACTTAGGAGGGGACAGGAGAGAAAGAAACTTGGGAGGGGACAGAAGAGGGAGGAACTGTATGAGGGGAAAGATGACCCTCCACACCTGTAACAGAGCCAGTAAGAGGTAAAGTACTAGGCACAGAGATTAGAAAGGAAAAATGTTCGGGAAGAATAAGTGAAGGAGGGGTTAATTAAAGGAGATTTGAACTTTGGGGATGTTTTAGACCTTGGAGAAGTAGAGGCAAAGGGAAGGTGTAGCTGTGGGAGGTTTTGTAGACATAGATACCTGCGAGCAAAAAGATGAAGACCCAATGACAGTTTGAGGTGATGAGGTAGGGACCTTGGAGTCCAGGATTGCAAAAGAGTTAGAAACAAGAGGTGACTGTGGAAGTGGTGACCACAGAGGAGATTGTGGAGGTAGGTACCACTGAGGTTGGAGACCACTTAGTAACTCTAGAATAAGAAAGTTGTGGAAGTCTCCCTTGGAGGCAGAGATGAAAGACTGCCATGGCATAAGTGAAACCCTCTTTCTCTTTGAGACAGCATATTTCTTGTTCTTTTAAGTAAACTTGGCAAGAGTGTGAACAAGCTGGGTGAGCCTCATCACAATTAAGGCAAGAGGGAGGTAGGCTGCAAGACGTATTGTTATGGTCAACAGCACCATAGACTGGGCATTCTGCCATGGACCTGCAATATTTCACTGGGTGGCCGAAGCACCGGCAGTTTCTACACTGTTGTGGTGTAGGGATCAGCTCTTGGACTTGTCAACGGTGCCCCGCAATGTAAACTGAGACAGAAGTTCACGGCAGTCAAAAGTTAAGCAAACTACATTGCATAAGAACATAAGAAAGAAAGAACACTGCAGTAGGCCTACTGGTCCATGCGGCAGATCCAAGTCTCCTACCAGCTTAAGCCAATGCCTTGACCTAATCATGTCAGTCACATTCACTTAAGGGAGGAGCATGGCATCCGACCTAGTAGCACAAGCTAGTCAGGTCCAACTCACACCCACCCACACCCACTTGTGTATTTATCCAATCTAGTTTTAAAACTACACTGTGTCTTAGCTTCTATGATGGTACTCAGGAGTTTGTTCCACTCATCTGCAGCTCTATTACCAAACCAGTGCTTTCCTATATCCTTCCTGAATCTGAATTTTTCCAATTTAAAACCATTGCTGAGAGTCCTGTCTGTGCTAGATATTTTTAGCAAGGTATTTACATCCTCTATTAATTCCTGTTTTCCACTTATACACCTCAATCATATCCACCCTAATTCTATGCCTTTCTAAAGAGTGCAGATTTAGGGCCCTCAGTCTATCCTCATAGGGAAGATTTCTGGTACATGGGATCAACTTTGTCATTCTCCTTTGTATGTTTTCCAGTGCATTTATATCCATTCTGTTGTGCGGTGACCAAAACTGCACAGCATAATCTAAATGAGGCCTAACCAAAGATATATAGAGTTGAAGAACACCCTGAGGACTTCTAGTATTTATACTTCTTGCTATGAAGCCAAGGATTCTGATAGCTTTATTGCAAACACTTATGCACTGTTGCCTTGGTTTCAGATTACTGCTAACCAGAACTCCTAAATCCTTTTTGCAATCCATAATGTTAAGATCTTCATTATTTAGTTTATATGTAGCATGGTTATTTTCCTGTCCAACATTTAGAACTTTGCATTTTTCTATAGTAAACTGCATCTGCCACTTCTCTGACCACTGTATCAGTCTGTTCAAATCATCCTGGAGTGCTCTAATGTCCTTGTTAGAATGAATTAGATGGCCTGTTTTGGTGTCATCAGCAAATTTGCTTATGTCACTGTTTATTCCCTCTTCTGTGTTGTTTATGTAAATTGTGAACAACAAGGAGCCCAACACTGACCCCTGTGGAACACTGCTTGTGACGTGCCCCCATTCTGATTTCTCCCCATTTATGCAAACTCTCTGCTGCCTATTTGTCAACCATGCCTCTACCCAGGAAAAAATTTCTCCCCCTATTCCGTGTGCCTTAAGTTTCCTCAGTAGTCTCTGATGTGGAACCCTGTCGAAAGCCTCACTGAAGTCCATATACACAACATCATATTCAATACCATGATCTACCTCCTCAAATACCTTGGTGAAGACAGTTAGTAAATTCGTAAGACAGGAACGCCCCTTTGTAAAATCGTGCTGAGATTCATTAATCAATTTATGCCTTTCAAGATGGCTACGAATTACTTTGGCAATTATTGATTCCATAAATTTACCAGCGATGGAGGAAAGGCTTATTGGTCTATAGTTCGAAGCTAAGGACCTGTCACCTGCCTTGTAAATAGGTATTACATTTGCCATTTTCCACTTGTCTGGCACTATGCCAGTTTGTAGTGATATATTGAAAAGATTAGCCAAAGGTATGCTAGATTCCTCTTTACGTTCCTTTAAAACCCTTGGAGCTCAAGGTGCTCCAGAATGTTGGCATCACTTGTCCGGAAATCACATTGTACAGTGGTATAAGGCAGACCTACGGACCACTGCAAGAATTGAGAGAAATGTGTTTCTGAATCACTACAGGAATATCACATGTGGAGGAATATCGCTTGAGATTGTGAGCTTGGCCAGCATTCTGCACCATGACGATGCGTGCACCACTCTTAAAAGCATGAAATAAAGTAGATAGTGGGAGATGTTGTTGCAGAGCGAAAAACTTAGTCCATTGAGTTCTTTGAAATGTAGTGTGTAAGGGGAGTAAGTGTCATGCTAGTCTTTTCTGGGAAGAGCAAGAGCTAATTGAAGCAGTGTCATCTGTTAATGGTCATGGTTGTTTAGATGTAGGACCGGAGGTGGTCTGTCCTGAGATGTGTGGGCAATCTGAAAGTTATTGCACTGTAGGGGGAGAAGTTGAAAGCATGGTCATAGATGTGTGGGGGTTGGATGTATCAAAGGAGTTAAGTGGAACCCCAGTACCAGGGGTGGGCAACAAAATGTTACCAGCAGAAGGTACTGGGGTGTTAGAAAGATTCGAAGAATGGTCCGATAATGAGGCAGGGTCAGGAGAGGGCGCCGCAGCAGAAAAGGGCCTGGGATGAGAAGTATCATGGACTTCGGACTCCATGGTTAGGTCACTTGTTTTTTGTTTTTCTGAGAAAAAGTAAGAAAAGCAAAAAAAAGCTAAAAAGGGGGGGGGGCAGAAACATGGAAGGGTTACCTCCTAGGAAGAATGAAAGGGTCACAAATCGCCCCCTGCACCCAAGAGGACCTCAGTGCAGCCAGTAGTGCAGATGCAGCATGGAACCTGTGCCATACCCTACCTTTCATGCCAATAAACCAGCAATCCAGGATAGCAACCTCACATACACCGAGCCACATCGGTGGACAAAAGAGAGGGTGGTCAGAAACCCGCCACAAGCCATACCTCCTTCGGCTACCACTTCCCAGAATCTGACAGGTAACCTCCAGAGATACACCCATCACCCAAAAGACATCACAAGCTGCCCTCCCATAAGACCAGAGAGGGATTGGGACATCCCCTGATGGTCCAGATTCCACAGGAAACTACACCACCATTGAGGACCTCAGTGGAATGGGACAGACAACTATACCCATCCCCCAACCTAGAAACTAGAATTCCCAAGGGAAAGATCCCCAAAGACAAAAGTGGGAAAGGGAGGAGGGGAGGGGGAGGGAAGGGAGGAGTGAGGGGGTAATTAAGGTCAGTTGGAGGAAGACTGAAAGGTCCAATTCCTCAGACTGAAAGTTTCTTTACCACTAAGACCTCCCCCTTCCCCCCAAATAAAAAGGAATCATAGAAGAAATGCAAGTTTCTCAAGCTTTCAAACAAAGTTTATGTTTCTCTCTGCTGGGTTTTAATCAGTAGAGGCAAGTGGTTTCTTAGGATATGACATACTGTTGGAGTGAAGGAATTTAGGGAAACTGGTTAACTGGTGGTGAAATATACAGTGCCTGCACTCTGAAGGAGAGGTGGGGGATATTGCAGTCTGGAGAGTCATTTATGATGTCTGTATGCTTTTGGCAAGACAAGGTAGCTATTGAATGAATGATGGTGAGTGTTTCCTTTTTTGGTCACCCTACCTTTGTGGGAGACGGCAAGCTTTTCAATAAACCTGATGAAGAAGCGGATTTTTTTTTTTTTAGATGCATTGATGTTTGGCATTAAATAACCACAAGTTACCTGGTCTGTTGCAGAAGCTAATTAAAGCAAGAATAAAAAATTACTTACCTGTAACTAGAATTGGCCTCAGCCACAACATGCTGTGCTTCCTTTAGTTTGGTTAAAAAAGTGACCATTGTACAGTACATGTATTTTATAATAAAGGTATATACAATGTGAATATTTTCTGTAATGTACCATACCTTATATGATTCATAGGTGAGATATTGGAAAATTTTAGTATACTCTTTACTGCTTAGTTTGTACATGGTATATTGATAGTTTCTATACAGTACTTATATTTCATTATGTAAATTATGCCTAAGATTAAGGAAGTAAAATTTTAAAAGAAATAATTTTTTTTACAACATGTATGATGTAAAAAGGCTAAGTAATTTTTGATATTTTAAGTACAGGTTGGCTGTCACTAATCCAGGAATCAGTAATCTGGTTCCATCAGTAATCCGGCACTAATTTTGGCTAGCATAATTTCAAATTTCCGGGGTCTCCACACGAACCTGCTGCTACTGTTTAGCAGCGCTACTTGCTACATAAGTTATTCCAATTTCTTTTTCTCCATTTATTGCTATAACCTGCTCGCTTTTAGCCCTAACCATAGTTCCAATTAATAAAAAAAATTCTTGTTGTGTAAAGTACATACACTGTACATTGTCCATAAAAGATGTGGTGGCTTTGAAGCCACTACTGGTTGCCATGAGCTCAGCTCACTCAGATAAGCTGTGACTGGTAAATTTTGGCCTATATATGAGAGAATTGGTCTGTTTTTTAAGTGTACACTATATGAAAAAATCCTGCAGCACGCAGTGCATAATAAGAAAAAAACTGCGACCATGTTTTTGGTGTAAAACGGCAACTTTGCAGTGTGTTTTCGTGTGGTTTTTATGGTTGTAGTTGCATTTTTTGGGCTCATTTGATAGAATGGAAATAGATATGATTTTGATTGGTTTCACGACGGAAAGTACCTTGAAACTGAACTCAAAGTAGTGGAAATGTTTGATTTTTGCCAGTGTTCAAGAATAAACAAATGATGTCACTGTCTGGTACGTGTCCAACTGGCCAGTCTACTATACAGTCACGAATGGGTTTACATTTTTATACAATTACAGCCTCTCCTCACTTAGCGACATACTCATTTACCAACAACTCGGACTTATGACTGGCTCTCTGACCAGTATGTATACCTAAATAATGTATATTAGAGCTGATTTCCACAATTTTGTTTATTACAATATACAGTACACTGCTGTATAAACACTGAAACATATACCAGAAATGTTGTAAATGGTGTAAAGGTGACATTAAAATGATATCAAAGATGGTTGACACAGATCCACTACCACTATAGTATGCTTCTCACTTAGCAACAAATTCATGTACCGACAGGGTCTTAGGAGCCTAACTCCGTCGTTAAGCGAGGAAAGGCTGTATTACAATAATACATTAGTCTGCATAACAGTAAATCTTTTATTTTTGTGTGAATAAAAATTCAAAATGGAAAGCAAGCGTATTATAAGAAGAGACTGGAGACATGACTAATGAACAGAGAAAATGTTATTTTAGTGCCAGGAATGTATGCATTGTTTAGTCTGGCCCCTATTTTGAAATTGGCATCTCTAGAAATTTGTGTGAAATTGGCCAAATTACCAATTTCTGACTACTTTATTTTATTATTTTTTATTATTAACACACTGGCCGATTCCCACCAAGGCAGGGTGGCCCGAAAAAGAAAAACTTTCACCATCATTCACTCCATCATTGTCTTGCCAGAAGGGTGCTTTACACTACAGTTTTTAAACTGCAACATTAACACCCCTCCTTCAGAGTGCAGGCACTGTACTTCCCATCTCCAGGACTCAAGTCCGGCCTGCCGGTTTCCCTGAATCCCTTCATAAATGTTACTTTGCTCACACTCCAACAGCACATCAAGTATTAAAAACCATTTGTCTCCATTCACTCCTATCAAACATGCTCACGCATGCCTGCTGGAAGTCCAAGTCCCTTGCACACAAAACCTCCTTTACCCCCTCCCTCCAACCTATCCTAGGCCGACCCCTACCCCGCCTTCCTTCCACTACAGACTGATACACTCTTGAAGTCATTCTGTTTCGCTCCATTCTCTCTACATGTCCGAACCACCTCAACAACCCTTCCTCGGCCCTCTGGACAACAGTTTTGGTAATCCCGCACCTCCTCCTAACTTCCAAACTACGAATTCTCAGCATTATATTCACACCACACATTGCCCTCAGACATGACATCTCCACTGCCTCCAGCCTTCTCCTCGCTGCAACATTCATCACCCATGCTTCACACCCATATAAGAGTGTTGGTAAAACTATACTCTCATACATTCCCCTCTTTGCCTCCAAGGACAAAGTTCTTTGTCTCCACAGACTCGCTCTTTTCCCCTCATCAATTCTATGATTCACCTCCACAGACTCATCCTTTTCCCCTCATCAATTCTATGATTCACCTCATCTTTCATAGACCCATCCGCTGACACGTCCACTCCCAAATATCTGAATACATTCACCTCCTCCATACTCTCTCCCTCCAATCTGATATCCAATCTTTCATCACCTAATCTTTTTGTTATCCTTATAACCTTACTCTTTCCTGTATTCACTTTTAATTTTCTTCTTTTGCATACCCTACCACTTTATTGGGTAGTTGAAATAGGTAAATGGACAGTTTTTTGTACTCAGCCGACAGAATAGAAGGAATACTGGCAAAATAGCTACGAGTTTGGTAGACTGGAACAATGGAATGGGCCAAAAATAGAGTGTAATATAGGTGAAATCGCCGATGTGTAAGTATCGCTGTTGTGTGAAGTGTATTCTAACCTAACCAATCTGTAATCCGGCAAAATCACTAATCCAGCACCCTACAGGTCCCGATGATGCCAGATTAGTGATGGTCAACCTGTACTACATAGCTCTGTCGTCTTTATTGCTACAATATTTTTCTTACAACTACTTTGTATGGTATACAACATGCTCTTGTTTGCTTTACAATATTTCTGTCTTCCAAAAATTATTTAGATAGAATAATTTTTTCATTTTCAGATTCCTATGTGACTTCATTTACTACTTGTCCTTGAAGGAAGACAGGAATCGCTCAGCCTTTATCCACGTCCCAACTCTCAACAGATTTTCAGCAAAAGACATTTCAGCTGCTGTTGCAGCTGCTATTAAGGAAATGTATAAACAGGTTGTGGAGAGGGACATGCAAGAAGGAAAGGAAGAGTTGAATGGTGTGTCAGTGAAGACCAAGTGTGATGACATGCCTGAAGAGGAATCACTAGGGAAAGTGTTTGTTGGTAATTAATTATTTAACTTTAGATTTACACTTGCAGGGCTCATGTCATTGAAGTTATTATGAAATTATATTGGTGCTGTCATATAAACTTATATTTATGTGGGAGTCATACATTTGTTAATGTTATATTAATGGGTTGATCCACTTATTCTGGACTTTGCTCTATTCTACTTTACTGTGATAAATATGATAAAAACAGACCATATGGGAAAAATCAGGCTGTTGGAAACAATCTCTACATTCCAACTGCTACGGGAAAATTATTGAGCTTACCAGGTAATGACTGATGGTTCACTCATGCATTGTCATAGCTGTTTTTTTGTAATATTTTTTTTTTTTTTTTTTTTTTAGAATAAATGGAAGTTAGTTTGTATAGTCTGAGTGACCTGGTAATGTATCATAGGTGTGTGTTTGTACTCGCCGAGCTGTGCCTGCAGGGTCTATTTCCTGATCCCTTCTTAATTTTCATTTGACTGACATTGTTGGTTCTCAGCCATTTGAACACTGTTACAGCTACTTTTGTTTGAATCCACAAAGGAAATGAATGTTTTGCCTTGCTTCTTCTGTCCTTATGTTCCTGGCTATTATACTTTTGCCTGTCCCCCTTTTTTTTTATATTTTGGCTATTTGTGTTTAACTAAATATTAATTTAGTTTAAGTAACCTAACCTAAAATATTTAATTTTGCTCAGATCATTTAGAAAGTGATGTATATGAATGTGTTGGGAAACAAACTGTGTACTTTTGACTTTTAGTGTACAGGATGGAAAGAGAAAATATGATAAATATATATAAGTTCATAAAAGAATACAGAAAAATGAGTAAGATTTCTTGGCACTATCAGCAGGTAGAACAGATAAAAAAAATTACTATAACATTGTGCAGAAAAGATCTTATAGAAAAAACACTATAAATATTGTAATACACGTCTTCACAGCACGAGTGGTAGATAGATAAACAGACATGAGGTAGTGGGTCTACTACTGGAAACCTTCTTCTTTCAACACATCGGCTGTATCCCACTGAGGCAGGGTGGCCCAAAAAGAAAAACGAAAGTTTCTCTTTCAATTTAGTAATATATGCAGGAGAAGGGGTTACTAGCTCCTTGCTCCTGGCATTTTAGTCACCTCTTACTACACACACAGCTTACAGAGGAAGAATTCTGCTCCACTGCCCCCATGGAGATGGAAACAGTTATGATTTGCTAAGTATTTATGAAGCAGCACAATAATGTATGGTTTTTCTACTGCAACTACAAATAGATAATTGCATGCACATTCACTTGCTTGCTGGCTCACGCTCTTCATTTTCACTTCCAAAATTCACACACTTCCCTTCCATCCCTCCCTACTGGCTATACCAGTTAGTTATTTTAATCACTGAGAAGCGCTAAACCCATAGAGGTTATATAATGTTTGGGAAGGCAATCAGGTTTGGTCCAAGGAAGGTTGGAGGGTTAAATTAAGAACCTCTTCCCTCTAGAGAGGTTCATTGATGAGAGACTCTTGATCTAAGGAACTGAACCTATATTACATTTTAGCCCTTGTGGTTTAGCGCTTCTTTTTGATTATAATAATAATAATAATATATTACATTTCCTTGAATTTAGTCTGAATGTCTTCCATTCCCCCATTTTCTGTATATCCCTAGTGGGTTTAGTGCTCCCCATGTATGTAATAATGATAGTCAAGAACCTGTCACCAGCTCACCAGCATCAAGGAATATCAGGTGAACAGACATATTCAGGGGTGGGTCTTCACTGGATGAATCTGTGCTCCAGTATAAGCTTTGCATAACTGGTAATTTTCCCTCACTTTTTGTGTCTCGTGTACTTTCCTCAAAAGAGCTCAGATTGCTTAAGTTGTTTAAATGTTGCATTGGTTGCTTCCATATCATTTTTTCGTACCTAGATTCCTCATGGTGTCATTTTTATCTTGTGGCTCCATTCCTATATTTGTTTATTTGTTTAGGTTCTCAGGTAGTGTATGTACATCAGACATTTTTGTTTGGTACTACTGCCAATTGGGGCTTTCTTAATTACTTTCTTATGTCAGGGTTCCTCAAGAGTGTCAGCAAATTTTGGCTTCTCATTCTTCATCTCTGTTGTAGTTAACAAGTTTGCAGCACCCTCATTTTTGTCTCCCCTTTTTTTTTGGTTTATTTGATCCCTTCAGATTGGCTGATATCTGCATGTCTCTGCTCTCCATTCATGCATGCACCTTTCATTTTCTTCAGTTACTCATTCATTTCATGTAGTGTTTTTCCCCACTTTGGTTGTCAACTGTGGGATTAGCCATCTTCTTGAGTTAGTGTTAACCAGAAAAAACTTTCATAAACCTTAATTTGGATTTTAAAATTGATTCTCAAGCAGTCTTTGCTTGTGTTGGGTCACCATTGATCTAAAAATGGCAGAGGTTAGTTGGTGATGTTTACATACCAAGCACTGGTTTCTATACCTGTTTGATTTTCCTGTCTCGTGCCCTCTTTACCAGCTATTATGACATTATGAATTTTATCTACAACTGTTTTTGATAAGTAAATGCACTGATAAGAAATGACTTATGATGGGTCTGAAGCCATCATCAGCTGGGAGAGACAGATGAACAGGAGAGAGGAAAAATGGGTACCACAATGGGAATTGTAGATGAAAATTGTGAGACCACTTTTTGAGTGAAAGACATTAAGAATTTTGTTAAAAAATAATAATAATTGGGTAGATTTTATTGTCCCAGGTTATAAAATGGGAATCTATGGGAAAATTGCATCAACTTGACATGTTTTACACTTAATGAGCCTTTTCTCTGGTTCTTGTCTAGATTGTTAAGTTGGAGTCAATTATATCATTGGTTGTCAACAGATACAGTTACTCCCAAATATTTTTTCTCACGCCATTGAATTTACAGGCCAAGAGCTGTTATTCTATTTCATTCTGCTCATTTCAAAGTTTAGCCCTATCTATTTACTGCTATGTGAACAGGGGTAACAGGTGTCAGGAAATGGGCCCAAGTCTCCACTTGCTCCAGGATCGAATCCAGGTCCTTTCGTTATGAGGCAGAGGCACTGCTATTGAGCTCTGAGCCACCTGCTTCTTAGGTATATTTGTATGTTCAATACTAAATTTTGTGCTGCAAAGTTAATGAAATAAATATTAAATTTTTTATATTTCACATAGTATTAAGGATGTGTGTACTGATATATTTTTATATTCATCGGAAAGTATTCAATCCAGAGGTTATACAGTGTCAAGGGAATGAAGAGTAATCAGTTTTAATCTAAAGAAAGGAAGGGTAGCTTCCATTCTTTGATTTAAGGCACACCTCTTAAAGGAATGAGATTGTTTTGCTGTGATGGTAAGAATAATGAACAATTCTGGGAACACTTGACTTTGTAAATTGTTTCTGAAAGCAATTTACTCAGTGGATTATAACAATAACGAACAATTCTAGGAACAATGAACTTTATTTTCAAATGCAGTTTACCCAACAGATGGTAATAATAATGAACATTTCTGGAAGTTGTGCATTAAATTCTATATTTGTTAAGTTGAGGTTTTATTTTATATATGTAATTCATTGAAAAGTACTAAACCTAGGCAGTTCAGAGAAATTATAGTGGCCGTAATATCTTCAAAAAGCTATAGGAATTTCAATACAAATATGCTTTTATTGAAACAGGTTTGCAGTGAGAAAAATTTTTCTCAATTTATCATTTAGTGGAAGTGGAGCAGTTGATAGGAAGACGTTGGTCTGTTAGTCACCTACACATTTTCCCTCACTGCTCATTATAATTATAGTTAATGTTGAGTAATTTCTATTGAGTGACTTTCACATCAAGATAAACCTTTTTTGTACAGTTTGTATTTTGGTAATGTGGCATAGATTTAATGCTATATTTAAATATAAGGATGAAAATATAAGTTTTTAAATTTATATTTTATATCAGAAATTACTTATGTTTAAGTTATATATTGACTGCATGTATTTGTTTTAATACTATATCTTAATAAATATATTTATTAGGTTTTAACAGAATTTAATATATAATTTTGAAGGGCAACTAAAATTTTTTAGTGCTTGAGGCTTGTGTCCTGGCCACAGTTATGAGCAAAGAAAGATTGAGATGAAGATGAATAGGAGAGAAAGGCTTGATGAGCAATGACAAAGAAAGATCTGAAAAGGAATCTGTACAATGTATGTGGCATTGCTGATAATAAGGGTGAACTCAACATCTATATAATGGAAAAACTACAATCAAATATTTATGTAAAAAAATATATTTTTACATGCAGAAATATTTTAAACGATTAAACTGCTTTCCTCCATAAATTTATGGCAACATGGGAAGTGGTTTACCACAATGATCTATGTTCTTGTGGGGAACTGTCTGCAACATAGCTCTAAAGTGTTCTACAAAGAAACACAAAAAACTAACCACAAAAGGAATGAAGAGATCCTCACAGGCAACAGTTTAAAGGGTCAAAGTATTATTTTATTGAAGTTGATAAGCTAAGTATTAGTTGGTGGAGAGAGTTGTTGGATTGATCTCAGATTCAGCAAAGTTCTTATGGCCATTTCTGTACTGAGGACACACTAAAAAAAATCTTATTAGTTACTTAAGACAAAATGTTATTTTAGTTAAATTTATAATATTTCATAGGGAACAAGTGTACAATAAAAAATATTATGATTTAATTGTATTTTCTGTCATTACTACATACATTTATAAGGAATAAGAGACGATACTGTTTTTAACAACAGTCATCTGCCAAAGCAGGATGACCAAAAGAAAACACATTTACCCACATTCAGAGCTCAGGCACTGCCTTTCCCAACTTCAGGACTCGCATCCGACTACCTGGCTTTCCCAAACCCCTTCATAAAAAGTTAGATAGGAGTAAATGGACACAAGTGGTTCTTAAGGCTCACACACCTAAGAACCACTTGTCTCCATTCACTCTTATCTAACATGCTCAGACACCACCTGGATGCTCAAGCACCCAAAACTCAAGAGCCTCTTGTACCCCTCCCCAAACCATTCCTGGGATGACCTCTCCCTCTTCTTTCCCAGATTTATATACCTTTGTTAACTCATCTCTATCCATTCTCACTACAAGCCCAAACAACCTTAACCCCTTCTCAGCCCCTACATCTCATTTTAATTTCTAAACCCTGAATTCTCTATGATATTCACACCATGTACTGATAAATTAGACAGTGGAACCTCTACTTATGAGTGCACCCACGTGCGAGTTTTTCCAGATACGAGCATTCGCTCGATCAATTTTTTGCTTGCAGACTGGATCGAAATTTCCAGATGCGAGCGGGCCTCAACGGAGGTTCCTTGATGCTGGTGAGGGGCTCTTGCTCTTGATCTAGGGAATTGGATGTCAGTTGTTTGTTGGACTATCTTATTGAAACTTGGGCAATGTATGATGGAAAGATGCTTCTTAATGTATACCAAAAATGAAAGAAATTGGACCATAAATAACAAGAGTTCACTTCTCAGCCATTAGCTGCCCCTTAACGGTATTATCATATGGTTTTTATGGTTGTATTCTCATTTTTTTGGTCTCATTTGATAGAAAGGCAGCGCTGTATAGTCCTTGTGGCTTAGCGCTTCTTTTTGATTATAATAATACTAATAATAATAATTTGATAGAAAGGAAGATATATTACAAAAATAGTTATGATTTTGATTGGTTTCACAATGAAAAGTACCTTGAAATTGAGTTCAAATTAGCAGAAATGCTCGATTCTTTGGCGATGTTCAAGAGTAAACAAATAATGTCGCTGTCCATTCCAATATACAGTCATGCGTGTCATGAGAGGTGACTAAAATGCTGGGAGCAAGGGGCTAGTAACCCCTTCTGCATAAATTATTAGATTTAAAAAGAGACATTTTCGTTTTTTTTCTTTTTGGGCCACCCTGCCTCGGTGAAATATGGCCAGTTTGTTGAAAGAATAATAATAATAATAATAATAATAATAATACATATAATAATAATAGTATAATATAATAATACATATAATAATAATAATACATTTTTTTTTTCAACAAGTCGGCTGTCTCCCACCGAGGCAGGGTGACCCAAAAAGAAAGAAAATCCCCAAAAGGAAAACTTTCATCATCATTCAACACTTTCACCTCACTCATACATAATCACTGTTTTTGTAGAGGTGCCCAGATACAACAGTTTAGAAGCATATATAAAGATGTATAACATATCCCTCCAAACTGCCAATATCCCAAATCCCTCCTTTAGATTGCAGGCATTGTACTTCCCATTTCCAAGACTCAAGTCCGGTTATATAAAATACCGGTTTCCCTGAATCCCTTCACTAAATATTACCCTGCTCACACTCCAACAGCTCATCAGGTCCCAAATATCATTCGTCTCCATTCACTCCTGTCTAACATGCTCACGTGCGCTTGCTGGAAGTCCAAACCCCTCGCCCACAACACCTCCTTTACCCCCTCCCTCCAACCTTTTCGATTTATACGCTCTCCATGTCATTCTACTTTGATCCATTCTCTCTAAATGACCAAACCACCTCATCAAACCCTCTTCAGCCCTCTGATTAATACTTTTATTAACTCCACACCTTCTAATTTCCACACTCCGAATTTTCTGCATAATATTTACACCACACATTGCCCTTAGACAGGACATCTCCACTGCCTCCAACTGCCTCTTTGCTGCAGCATTTACAACCCAAGCTTCACACCCATATAAGAGTGTTGGTACTACTATACTTTCATACATTCCCTTCTTTGCCACCACATGTACCTCAATGCACCACTCACCTGTTTTCCTTCATCAATTCTATGATTAACCTCATCCTTTATAAATCCATCTGCTGACACGTCAACTCCCAAATATCTGAAAACATTCACTTCTTCCATACTCCTCCTCCCCAATTTGATATCCAATTTTTCTTTATCTAAATCATTTGATACCCTCATCACTTTACTCTTTTCTATGTTCACTTACAACTTTCTACCTTTACACACACTCCCAAACTCATCCACTAACCTTTGCAATTTTTCTTTAGAATCCCCCTTAAGCACAGTATCAGCAAAAAGTAACTGTCACTTCCCATTTTGTATTTGATTCCCCATAATTTAATCCCACCCCTCTCCCGAACACCCTAGCATTTACTTCTTTTACAACCCCATCTATAAATATATTAAACAACCATGGTGACATTACACATCCCTGTCTAAGACCTACTTTACCGGGAAGTATTCTCCCTCTCTTCTACACACCCTAACCTGAGCCTCACTATCCTCATAAAAACTCTTTACAGCATTTAGTAACTTATCATCTATTTCATATACTTGCAACATCTGCCACATTGCTCCTCTATCCACTCTATCATATGCCTTTTCTAAATCCATAAATGCAATAAAAACTTACCTACCTTTATCTAAATACTGTTCACATATATGCTTCAATGTAAACACTTGATCTACACATCCCCTACCCACTCTAAAACCTCCTTGCTCATCCGCAATTCTACATTCTGTCTTGCCTCTAATTCTTTGAATAATAACCCTGGTATACTCAGTAAACTTACTCCTCTATAATTTTTACAATCTATTTTGTCCCCCTTTCCTTTATATAAAGGGACTTTACACGCTCTCTGCCAATCCCTAAGTACCTTCCCCTCTTTCATACATTTATTAAACAAAAATGCCAACCATTCCAACACTATGTGACCCCCTGCTTTTAACATTTCTGTCATGATTCCATGAGTACCATAATGTACTATATAATAATAATTATAATAATAGATGGCCTCAAAAGGCGCTCACTAGATGGCAGCGATTACCAAAACAATGTGGGAGTGGTTGTGGCCTCCACTTGTCACATAATGACATTTTTTATTCATTCTAGAGTATATGTCATGTTTCTGTTATTTATGTTGTTTATTATGTCATATTAGATGACTTGTGATAGATAAATAAGGCATATAGATATTAGCGAAATATTGAAGTACATATCTTGTCGTGCCTCCTGAGAGCCAGGAATGGATTAATTGCATTTCAATTAATTTAAATGAGGAAAATTGACTCTGCAAATGAGCAAATCCAGATGTGGGCAAGGTCACGGAACGGATTAAACTTGTAAGCCAAGGTTCCACTGTATATGCAACACTTGGGTATCTTAACCAAAGAAATATTTCACCACACAGTGGCTTCATCAGTCCTATACAAAGAAGAATGGTAAAGATCAGGAGTTTGAGGTAATCAATCCCTCAGCCTGGAGCCGATGTAATCAGTCCACCCATCAGTCCATCATTCTTTTCAAGATCGATGGGCTGATTACATTGACTCCAAGGTGAGGGACTGATTTCCTCAAACTCCTTCTGATCTTCACCATCCTTCTTTGTACAGGATTGATGAAGCCACTGTGTGGCAAAATGTTTCCTCAATAATGAAGATACCCAAGTGTTGCACATGTGTCTAGTTTATCAACGTATCGGTTCTCTGAACAATTTATCTACACACCACACATTGCTCTCAAACATGACATCTATGCTGCCTCTAACCTCCTCTTCACTGCAGTATATCAAATCCAAGCCTCACATCCCTAAGAAAGTTTTGGTACCACTATACCCTGGTGCATTCCCTTTTTTATTCACCTCCATAGATAAACTTTTCCTTCCACATATTTGAACACGCCATCCACTTTTTCCCCCCTCTCTTGTCTTTATAGTTCACTGTATCACCCTTATATATTTAGAACTTAAATTGATCATAATATTTTGTAGTTTACCCTATCTTTCATAGACTCGTCTGCTGACATGACTTCTTCCAAATATCTAAATGCATTCACTATTGCCATACTCCTCCAGTCTGATATTCAATCTATCATTGGTTACACTTCTTGTTACCCTTATCACCTTGCTCTTTTCCAGGTTCACTTAATTCCCTACTTTTACATACCCTCCCAAATTCATCCACATGATTTCAGAATCCCCTAAAAGAACTGTCATCAGCAAAGAGCAACTAAGATAACTTCCTAGTACGTATTTATTTTCAAAACCCTATCTATAACTCTCTCCAGGTAAACTCTCCAGGTAATAAACATGTTAAAACAACCATGGTGACATGCATCCCTCTCTAAGCCTCACTCGGCACAAAAGTCACTCATGGGTATCTCGTGGAGAGGTACCAAGTGCCACTTTGTGAGAACTGTCAAGTTCCAATTTCAGTTTTTTCATATTCTACTAGACTGTCGTGTCTACCAGTGGGCACATAGAATTTATCTCTACCGTTATCACTGCTCTAGTGCCCTTACTTTATTTTCCATCATTGCTGACAGCCCTACTTTTGACACAGATTCCCTCTCTGACTTTTTTTCAGCAACAGAATTATGCCAACTTTAATTATATGTACTTCATTTAGCACTTCACACCATCCTTACTATACCTCTGTTATACTCTGATCAAGCATATTAAACCTTTAGCTCACCCTGCCTTGCAGTGCTGTATGACCCTTAAATGCTGTATGGCCTTTAAATGCTATATGACCTTTAAATACTGTATGACCCTTGTAGGTTTAGTGCTTCTCTTTGATTATAATAATAATGACCCTTAAAGGTTTAGCAATTTGTTCTGATTATAATACACATTATAACCTGTATAAAAAACTCAACTGCTTTTGGTAACCTACCTCTTACTTCATA